GATTCTATTGTTTCTTCCGACAGAAATGCAACCCCCAAAAGAACATTCTGCCACTGGTTATTAACTGCAACAAAAGGTGCACAAGCTAGATTGTATTTGTTCAATCTATAGCTGGTATCAAAAAGTATAACATCTCCAAAGGAGTCGTAGTCTATTCTTCCCACACCATCAGCCCAGAAAAAATTTATCAATCTATCCTCCTTGTCATATTGGACTTCCCACACAAACATGTTATCACTGTTTGGTCGATTTTTAAAAATTTCAATTAGGGAATTGGTGTCCCCAGACTCAATCTTGCATCTTCTATTTTTCTGAACAAAGTTATATGCATCTATTCTTAAAAAACCTACATACTCCCTCCCACCAACTTCATTAGCTAAGTATGTGAATGCATCAATGGTTCTAATCCCAGCATTAGTTAAAGATTTAAGAATGAATGCTCTCTCTTCGATAATATTCATGCATGATCTCAGTAAATGTTGATCTTCAGGCCTTGCTAACTCATGGTTGTGGTTCTCAATGCATTTATTAACCTTCCATTCCCCATCTTGATCAACTGAAAATTTAATCATCGCGGGACACCCTGTCCTAGTATTGGATTTCCTGTATTTCGATTTGACATTCAAGTCAAGGCCCTTCTTAAAACCAGCTTTCAAACATACAAAATCTTTCATCCGTATCTTTCTCGAATTAGGTCAATAACAGTGATGATCTTTGCGAACACTAAAACCAACACTGTGCGCGTAATGACAGTAAATATCATATGCCTCTTTCTCACTATTACAAACAACCTATAAACAACAACCAATTCGAGTTTAGCATTGGAAACACACACACAATTTCAAAATAACTTCTGTACCTGGCGGTACCTACAAGTACCGACCGATACCTACTGATACTGAGCGGTATCGAACATTTAAAAAGGGTACTAAATGATACCTCCTGCCCACCAATACATATATTCTCACCAATACAAAATTTTTAAAACAAAAAATATTCAAGTAAACACTGAAGAAGTCGCGACATTCATATCATATTTACCGATAATATATCCAAGTTTGGTTGGGTACTCTGTTGCAAACCATCTCCTCTTCTAAGCTGTGACTCTTGCGTAAAACCTTCCATCTCCGACCAGTCTTTCATGTCCTCCGGCACAGTATCCATCTTCATAGACCTTACGCTCTTCTCCTGCTTTCTGAGGTTTCAGGTGTTACGAGAAAAAGTTTTAACTGAGGTAAAAAAACGGCGCCATCAAATATAACCCTAGCTTTAACCGCACATTTTTTCAAGTATTTCGGGTGGTTCGTGTTACAGGTTATCGGGTAAATAGAACACACGTGCTCTTCAAATCGATGGGGTCAAGGTGGGCTCCACGTGGCGCGAAACTATTTGGTTGCACACACAGAGCTACGTCCGCACTCCGCACCCAATAAAAGTTCCTCTCTCTCAAGCATGCCATGAATAAATAATAAGAAAATAAATTACTCCCATCACCTAGAGTCATGATCCCCCTCTCTCTCAAGCACATTAAAAATCACTACAATACAAACAACATGCCCAAAGCTTTTAATGCATGGGTTGAAGAAGCTAGAAGTAAAGCCATTATTGATTTGATCGATATAATTAGGGCAATATTTATCGAACATCGCTCTCAAAGAAAGAAAAACTCTAGCTCTTAGAAAGGTCAACTAGTTCGCCATGTAGAAGAGTACATCAAGGACATCAGAATAAGGAAAGGGTATTTTATAATTCGTCAATCGATAGCAACCAGAGCTAAAGTTGAGGGAGTTCATGAAAGGCATAAGGTGGACATAGAAAAGAAGAAATGTAGTTTTGGATTCTGGCAATTAAGTGGACTACCCTATATACATAGTGTTTCATTAATTGGAACGAGACAACATACCTTAAGAAATATGTATGTTGATGATCACTACTACCCATATAGGTTTGTTAATTGCTTCATTTAATGGCCACCTATTTGTCACATTAGTTATCTAAAAAATTTATATTTTATGACTAGATACAAAATGACATATGATGGAACAATTTCAACCCTACCTAGGAAGGAGTTGCAGTCTGCAGTTAGTAATAGTGAGGTAGTTACTACGTCAAGTTCACATGGACCACGTGGTAGACCAAAAAAAGGTGAATTAACAATTTCTTTGAGATTGGAAAGAAAATAAAACTTGGACACATGTGTAGTCATTATGATTTATGGGGCCATCATAAAAGCACCTGTAAGAATCCATTAAATGTGGAAGGTGAAAAAATTGGTAATGAGATTCTATTCAGTGATCAGTTGCCTACAACATTGAGTGCTCGTGTGAAATTGACTATACATTGTCCAAGTACTGTGTTGTTGGAATAGGGAAATTTTACTTTAGTTTTATCTTTTTTAAAAGGCTAATGAAACATCCTGCTGCATTTTATTTTCTTGGTAGCAGAATTTTTTGACACTAGAAAATTTGTTGAATGCTAGCAAGATGTTTGGATGCTTATTCTTATTGCAACTTATAGTTATTGAAGTATAGATAATGATCACAGCTTAAATTTAGCTAGAAAATGCATTACCTTAACAGAGTTCATTGCAATTTACTCAAATTTTCATTTAACTCAAAATGCAAATCACATTTATAATTACAGCTCGTGAGCAGATATTTCATGGTGATTACTATAGTCAAAATTAGGATAATCACGATCACCAACATGATTTTTATCTGAAAAAGCTCGACTCTAAATGAAATAACATGAGTTGGGCTGGTTTTGGCAACATTTGCATTTCTTCAATAATTCATATTAGATGTAAAATCATTTAGTTCATCACACCACTGAAAAAAAACAATCATCTTATGAACAGTTTCTAGGAGCATCTAAAAAATTTTCAACTACTACGAGATTTGTATGAGGTATATATTGTATATTGCAAACTGCAATGACAAAATATTTAATTACTTAGATTTTTTATTAGCATCACCGAGGAGCTCGAACTTATTGTGCAATGGCTTTACAACTTGAGAAACAATAAAAATACACTTTCAAAGTAAAGAACGAAAAGTTTCAACAATGCATGGCATTTCAATGCACCAACTTGAAAGACCAATATGCAATATCATTTCAGATTAAAAATTTCTTGTGACTGTACATTAGTTAATCTGTTGCAAAATGGTGTTGTGACATAATCACTCCTTGGCATTTCATCGAACCGCTTACGCCCCTCTCTAAATTTCTAAAAACATTGAAGCTCCTTTGACACTTTAACAGTAACAAGGTAGGGGTGTCAAAATGGGTCGATGGGTTGGGTTTAGGTCGAACCCGAGTTGACCCAGGTGGTCAACTCGAACCTGACTTGATTTTATAAATGGGTCATAATTTTTAACCCGGACCCAACCAGTGCGAGTTACCGGGTTGACCCGACCCGACCCGCAAGTCATTTATAAAATGTGAACCCAAAGTGTAGGTGTCAGTTGACTCAGTGTGGGGTGAAGCCAGCATGCAGCATAAGGTCCGTGAGGCCAACACGAGGCGACTTAGGCTGTTGGGCGAGCTAAGTAAGATCGTCTTGACCGCCATCCTTAGGTGTAGAGCCAGCGAGGCCAGCCACCAGCGTGCGAGGTGACCAGGCTTTAGTCTGGGAGAGGCTAGCGTCAACGCGGGTGCAACCCGTGCGAGACCAGGGGTGTGACTGCAAAGCCGAGGCATGCGCTTACAAGGCGGGCCCGCGAGGTCAAGCTGACTCGAGCAGCAAAGCGGGTTGAATTTTTGGGTTGTTGGGTCAACCAGACTTGATTTTAAAAATGAGTTGAAATATCAAACCCAAACCTCACTTGCATGGCAAACGGGTTGAACCGAATCCAAAATTTTTGTGGTCAGGATCCGGTTGGGTCAGATTTTGACACCCTTATCACAAGGAGACATAATAAACAATGACATAGAGAAGACGAACAACAACCAACATAAGACATGGAGAAGACGAAGAGCAAACAACAATAACAAAAACTAAGACAACATCAAATGGTAAAAGGCACAAACAATAATAGTTGGAACGATGAAATGGCGCAGATGAAAAGTGAACATTAGGCATTCAAATGGCAAAAAAATCAAAACGAAGCGTTATTGACGAAATGAAGAACATGAAGAGCAATCCTTGCCGACCTAAGAAGATGCGTGGCGAGGGAAGAGACAAGTCGCAGGAAACGAAAGATGATGTCGAGCTAATATGGATTTTTGAAGGGGTTATAACGAAGTGTTAGAATATATGAAAAGAAGAGTTTTATGTGGTATATCAGTAAATACGAAAGTTTTAAAGGGGTTGTAAAGAAGTGTTAGAATAGAATATATATTCACAATAGTTTGAAGTGTTATGAGGATGTTTGGTAGCGCCCAAGATTTGATTTAAGTAGGATTTCATAAATCTTCTAAATTTGAATTTCGAAAATTCTAAAAGTTCTAAATCCTGAAAACTGTTTGGTAACATTTATTATAAATCCTATTAATTCATATGTGACTGTTTGACTATAAAAAGAGGGCAAATTATTAGTTCCGGTCACTAGACTTATTTTTAGGTCCGGACATATAATAAAAACTTGCCACGTAAACTACGCTTTTGACTGCGCTTTGACTACGTTTTATGTGCGCTTTAGGTGCGCTTTGACTGCGTTTTACCTTCGCTTTACTTGCACTTTTGGTTGCATTTTTTTGAGTCAAAGCACAATCAATGTGACAAATTTTTAGTGAATGTCGGGTGACCAAAACTAATGGATTTCATAAATCCTAAAAAAAAAAGGATTTCCGGGATTTTGCACGAAAAGCGGAATTTTCCGGGTATGTGGCTTTCATTTGTCGTGAGATTTGATTTGGCCTCAAATCCTGCTACCAAACAGCCCCTATTTGTGTAAATATCTTAAATTTCGCCGAACTGGTTTGCCTTAGGTTGCCCAGGCTTCCATTGGCCGGGAATCGAACAGGTAAGCTCGAAGCTTTCTCCATCCAGAACGCATTACATATCTCTTTGCCTTGTATTCTACATCCTATCTGCCATTTAGATCGTGTTTGTTATCGTAGGCGTTAGTCTGGATCGCTAATCCTTCCTAGATTTTTGCCAACGATCTAGAAATTAGGGTTTCTTTGTTGAATGACATCAGCAGTGTTTCAGGGGAATGTCTTCGTGAAAGACAGCGTTCCTTCCCCAATTTTAACTGGCGGATCTAGAGACAAGAATGGGGTTTTTTTTCACGAGATTTATAGCATTTTTTTGGGGGAGAGATTTATAGCATTTTTTTGGGGGAGAGATTTACAGCATTTCTCCATCAATAGGTTTGATTTGTATATTTTTATTTTACTTGAGCTGGCCATGATAAATTTTACTTTGTATTTATTGGATGCACTCCTTAGCCCACTTGTGGGCTTTTACCTTGGCTGTTGGAGATATTCCGGTAAATAGTAGTTTTGGTATTTTTTTCCCCATGTACTTTGCTGTGGAATGTAAAATTCTCGTTTGGTATTGTTTTAGCTCATTCGACCATTCCCAAATACAATTGTGGCTAGCTGTTGTTTGTCCAGTTGCGAAGTAAGTTCCTAACATGGATAAGTATCTTGTTAGCATGCTACTTGTTTGAATGTCCAACCAAAGGTATTAGATCAAGTTGATTCTGAATATGAATCAAGTTGATTCAGAATATGAAGCTAGGATGTATTCATTATTCATTTAGTTTCTGATTGACTTTTGATGAAGTAACAAAATGAAAGGGCTAGTTGGATCGGGCATTAAAAGAAGCATATAGTGATTTCTTCTCATTAGCCTTATATAAACTATTAAGGCCGGCTTTACATATCTTATCTTTTCGATTTTTTTTGCTAAGTGTTGTTTGAAGCATTAAACTTATTCTTTGCAAATCTTCTGAACAGATTCTATCCAGTTATCTTAGATTTACCACATTCCTTTCTAATGATTTATAATTGGTGCTTTTTCTGCCCGCCAATACATGTCCAAAGCATCTAAGGGCTCATTTTGTTTCTAGTAGATAGAAAACATCTTTTGACAAGTGATTATTTTTCTCACTCTTTTTTCTTTTTGTTAAAAATGAAATCATTTTTTGTAGGGGTTTGTAAAGAGAGTTGTAATGCTTAAAACTAATGCTGATTAATGATCAAATCCAACCAAACAATGGATTTAAAATATTAATTTATTTCTCAAAACATGTTTCCTAGCATCAAGCAATCAAATGGACTCCAATTGTATTTTTAACTAGACATTGATGCTGCTCCAATGATTTGGGGATTAGATGTATTTAATCATTAATCTGACCATTTATGATCATGATTTGAGCATTAGATCACAAGTTATCAAGCGGATTATGATCAATAAGGTTTTCAATTATGCTTACTGTTGAGATTGAAGATGAAGTCATTAAGAGTCCATTGTTGAAAAAAGGATGGTGATTAGATAGCTGGTGATCAAAAGCGGGATGCAAGAAATTTGGATTATTGGATGATGATTAAGAGACAATAGGAATTAATGTGTTCGACCATTCCAAGGAGCCTTACCTGGCTAGATGGCATTATATAAAGTCTAAATTGGTTTTATTTTGATCTCATATGGTTGAATTGAGAATTAGGGTTCACATGTATTGTGGTGTAATTTTAGGAATGATAAACTTTTTTCAACTCAAAACCTATTATAGTTTTTATAGGCCTATTTCCTGCAATGAAATCAATCCAATTCTCCTCCTAATCCATCTCTCTTTTCCTCTAGCTCACCTCTTAGTCATTGTCCTACCCAACCCCCAAAACTATCACCAACTACAGCTGCTAAGTCATTGGCCTTCATGTCATTTGATGATTCCTAAAAACTATTATAGGTAGATGTTGCTCTTTTCATTTCAGAGTGAATCACTAGCATGGAGACGTGGAAAGGTATAAAAAGTTAGTTTCGATGATGTTATCAGGAATGTCAGTTGCACCCTAGTAACCTACAGAATCATCAATCAAACAATGAGTTAAATGCAAAAGTATTTTGTTGTGAGGCCTCTTGTTTGATTGCACAACCCAACCTATTAGATGAAGTTGATACTGAATATGAAGCTAGAATGCATTCAATATTCATTTGTTTCTGATTGGATTTTCATGAAGACTTCATCTTCAATCTCGGCAGTCCCTCTTGGACCAAGCATCAAAGGTAACATATAGTGACTTCTTGTTAGAAAACATCATCATTAGCCTTATATCAACCATTTGGGCAAGCTGTATAATTTTTCAATTATTTGTTTTTTTTTTCCTCAATGTTGCAAGAGATGTTAAATCCTTGCAAATCTTTTGAACAATGTCTATCCATGTTTTAGGTTTATTTCTTTCCTTTCTAATCATTTGATAATAATTTTATATTCATAATTGATGGGTGCATTTTTTTACCTGTCAATGCAGCTATCCAAAGCATCTAAGGGCATATTTGTTGCTTGTAGATGACATACTTTTGAAAAGTGATGATTTCGTTCCACTCATTCTTTAATTAAAAAATAAAATTACTGCTTTTGAAGGGGTTTATGAGGAAGTTTGCAGAGTTTAAAAATAATGATGATTTACGATCACATATACAACCAAATGATGGATTAAGCAAATTTTTTTCATTTCACAGAACATGTTTTCTAGCATCAAGTAACTAACTGTACTCTAATTCTATCTATCATTGATGCTTCTCTAATGATTTGGGGATCAGATCTAATCGATGGTTAATTAGATCATTTATGATAATGATTTGAGCATCATATTATCAAGAGATTGAAAGGATTAAGATCAATGAGATTTTGACAATTTAAACAATTATTGAAGATTTTTAATTGCTAGAGACATTTAAATCCCATTATTGAAATTGGAAATCAAGTTAAGAGGAGTCCACTAGTGAAAACAAATTGTTGATCAGACACTTGGTGATCAAATTTGGAAGTAGTATATCTGGATTGTTGGATGATGATTGATAAACTGGAATTGATGTGTCTAACTAGTCTGAGGAGCCTTACATGACTGGATGCCACTGGACATGGTCTAATTTGGTTTTATTTTGATTAAATTTGATTTTTGAATTTAAAATTCTCGTTTGTTTATTCTGTAGAGTTATTTTTGGAAGGATGAGCTTGAATTTAAACTCCAAAGCTGTTGTAGTTTCTTTTTTATTGGCTTATTCCTGCAATGACGTCAGTGAAATTCTCCTCAAACTGTCATCTCTGTCACTGACCTACCCAACCCCCAAAACGGCCACCTACTACAACTCTCTGCCCCCACCTGCAACACCTCTGACACCACTTCTAGTACCTATTACCTGTTGTTGTCGTCACCCTGGCTGAGACCTACAATGAGGGGAAACAAAGACTTTGATATCTCTTTATAGCAACTAAGAGGCAAAACCAGCAAGAAGAAGACCTAGCCTATGAGGAGAAGCCATATATAGCAAGAAACAACACTTTTGAGTTACTTTTCTTTTTTAATCATAAATCTCTAGGGAACCTCAAAAAAATTGCTAAAATTCCTTTTTATTATTCATTCCAACCTTTTATTGAGGGCTCTCATCATCATATTAAGAGATGAACATTAAAAATATAAATAAATAAAATTAAGGGATGAACATTAGATCAACCAACCATCCCTCTTGTACAGTTATTCTTATATTTATCATTTATTGGCATTTTTATCTATTCATGCATGTCAAAGGCATATACTTGCGTAATGATATGGACCTTGCTTGAAAGTTGCTAGCGATCTGCCTGTAGAATTTCTTCACTATATTTTATATAACTTCTAGCTGATGTAAAACAAATGTCGATGATTCAGTGCATTTCCTGGTATCTAAAATTCATGTTTTCATTCTTTCCATGTATATATAGCTTATATAATTTATACAGCTTATATAATATTAGCAAGAAAACCAGTGGATGGTTAATTTCTTATAATATTGTAACTGGTTAGAGTAGCTTTGTAACATTCCGTTTTCTATTTGATTGTAGGTTGCTGACTCTGGCCTGCGACAATGTCTTCTCCAGAAAATATTAGACAAGAATACGAGCACGCTCTGGAGCAGCATGTACCACTCATATATGGTCTTCCTGACGACCTTGCCATTCTTTGCTTATCAAAGGTCCCTCGGCAATTTCATCATGTTCTTAGATGTGTTTCTAAGAGGTGGAGTGCTTTGCTCTGCAGTAAGGAGTTTAGTTCTTGTCGTTCTAGGCAGAATCTGAGGGAAACCTGGATTTATGCAATGTGTGTAAACAAATACAGAGTCAACTGCTGTTATGTATTGAATCCATATCCTTCAAGCAAGCATTGGAAGCTTCTCCAACGCATCCCATCTGAATGTATGGGCCGGGAGGGCATGTCTTTTGAAGCTTTAGGAAATAAACTTTTTTTGTTAGGTGGCTGTAGTTGCCAAGAAAATCCCACAAATGATGTATATAGTTATGATACTTCTACAGAGAAATGGGAGAAAGCTGCTAGAATGCCAACTGCAAGGTATCTACATCATTGGATGCTCTTCCACTCTATCCATTTGCTTGTGTAAAGTCCTTTAGGGCATCTCCAACCGAACTCCAAACGCTTGAATGGCGTCGCGCGCGAGCTACAGCTGAATGGTAAAACTTCCGCTATTTGGTTGCGGGTGAACAGTGGGACGTCAATATTGGCGTTGCATTGTTCATCTCCGCTATTTTTCTGTCTCTACTGAACTTGACGAAGAAACACGCCAAAGAAGAGAACAACCGATACCTTCACAAAAGGGGAAAAAATGGAGTTCGGTTGGGGATGAATCACATCATTTATTAGTTTCACGGCATTTTGGAGCGAAAAATGAGATTTTCGGTTGGAGATGCCCTTAATATGTTCATTATATAATATTACGAATGCTGATTCTTCCTCGTTTACTTAGTAGCTACCTCATCTACCTTTCAGGTGCTACTTTTTGTCAGCAGCTCTAGGCAATAAAATATATGTTACTGGTGGCCTTGGCCTGAGCTCGGATGCTTCCAACTCCTGGGACATCTATGACTACCACTCAAACAACTGGAACTCTTATGAAGATACATCTCTCATCCCTGACATTGTCAAGTCCTTCATTTTTGAAGGCAAGGTATACACCATTCATAACACATGGATTGATAGGCAGTTCGCTCGCGCCTACGACCCCTCAAGCAGAAAATGGGAAGATGCAAATCAACAGATGTCTTCGTGCGCTCGCGGCCCGACCGTTGTCGTTCAAGATACTCTCTACATGTTAGACGAGACTTACGGCACGAGGCTTATGATGTGGCAAAATGAAGCGAAGGAATGGGTCCCTTTGGGTAGACTGGCACAGATGCTCACAAAGCCTCCATGTCAGCTTGTAGCTGTTGGGACTTGTATTTTCATAGTAGGGCAGAAGCTGAGTACAGTTGTGGTTGATATGGAGAAGGCGACACAGGTAGAAGGGGTGCTGGTTGGTTCTTCATTAGTACCTAAACTTGATAATGATCTTTCAGTTATTAGCTGCAAAACTATTGCCATTTGAGGTGTAGATCTTTAAATGCTACAACTTTCATGTCTTGCAATGTATGGATAGAGTTGAAATGTTGTTTTGGAAACAAACTATCAGTTGTGGTTTGAAAGATAAATGCAGAATGGTTTGATTTCAGTAATGCATGCTGCATAAATGTTTGAATAAAGAAATTTCGATCCAAGAGTAAGGGTGTCAATATTGGACTCGACGCAAAAATCTCATTTAAATCTGACTAAAAAATTTCGAGTTTGGGTTGACCCAAATTGACTCGAAATTGACCCGAGAACCTATTTTTGACCCAGCAACTTGAGATTAACCCTTTTTTTACTCAAAAAATGAATATTGACCCATTTTTGAACCTGAAAATTAGCATTTTTTTGGCACCGGGTCATTCAGGTCGGGTCGGGTTAACCGAGACTGAAGCGGGTCTGATTCAGGTTGAACTGAATAGTATAGGGTTAGTTTCGGGTTCGACCTGAACCCGACCCGTGACTAGAAATTGATACCTCTATCGGAGAGCAAGACTCTAATTACAAGTCATTTTGTCCATGAGAGAGAATTTGACTAATTTAAATGTCAACTTATTACAACAAATAGGATTATTAATACAAATAGATTGAGAATCAAACTTTCATATTCCAACAGATGCTTAATACAAAACATTCACTACTGTCCAACATCATAAACTAATTCTGTTGAAGACTTGGCAAAGAGGCAAAAACTTGTAGTTGTAGCAGAGTATTCTAACCACACAACAAACAGTTATCTGCAGGCTTTTCATAAGCTAATGTTCCAACAAAAGAGTTTTGCAGTACAAACTATTTCTTTCTCCTCTTGAAAGAAGAAGGTATGTTTACATTATTCCTTTCTATTTTGTTGATCCTTGCAAGGCATTCATTCACTCTCTTCAAGATGACGGGTGCTGTAGCTATGTTGCTCATTGCTTTCTTCCTAAGATAAACTAATTTCTCATGCTCCCTTTCACCGGCTTCGGTAAGTGGTGAATCGCCGGGTAACTCTGTCTGAGGCCCATCTGCAGGACAAAGCATGAAAGCAAATAAATTACAGATGTAGAAGCTATATTGAAAAGACAGTAATAGAAGGGCTAATCTTATGCTTCTTAAGGTAAGTTTGGAACAGTTGCAACTATTTATATAAGTTACTGCAAATATGTTATGAGAAAAACAGCTTTTTTAAAAGAAATTATTGTATTATAATTTTTTAAAGAAAAACAGCTTTTTTTCTATTTGTTATGAAAGGTTATTCCCACAGCAGAAATTTTGAAAAGAACAATAAATTGTAGCATTGCAGAGTTATAAAATAGACCCCTAAGGAAAAGAAATGTAGCAAGTAGGCTAACTAATGCAAAGATGTTATGAAACATTTGCTTGCAAGTAAAATAGAATCTGCCATTGCTGAACAGCGCCAGATTAAAAATTCCAAGAATAACGCATTCATTCACAGTAAATGAATCACAGATTTCTTTTTCATATTCCCTTTTCCTTGCACAATTCTATATGATACATAAAAAATGCTAATGATGATTCAAATTAGTGTGGAATAGCACTCTGAGGAAGTTAAAGAGTTCAACTAAACAAAAGCTGCGGCGATTCTCTTATTAGAATCCAGTTAATGCATTAAATTAGGACAGACCACTGAGCAGCTTTAGAATCTACTATGGGAATTGCACAATTAAATTTGAAATAAGTCGAAACTTGCTATTTTAGAAAAAAGTGAAAAAAATTGTCCCGATTGAGATTTTAAGCTGTTTTGAAATCACTGTGATTTTAAGCTGTTTTAGAAATCACTAGAACTAAAAAACAGTGATTTTCAATGCACAGTAAAACTATGTTTGTATGTAAAGACTCAAGCTTAAGTTGGGACAATTTTTTTACTGTTTTCTAAAACAGTTTTTTAATATAAAAAAAAAACTATGATTTCTAAAAATCATTGCAACTCACTCTACTATGACTCAATTACAGATCTAAGATTCAAAGACTGACAACAAAACAAACCAACCATTCAAGCATGTTTATTCTTCTTAGTTCTAAAAATGGAAGAATTTAAATATTATTAATTGCACCGATCAAGAGAACTATAAGAATTATAAAATATATATAAAAAAAGAATTATAAAAATGAACTCAAAAGGTAGAAAAACAAGTTTGTGCATAACAAGTCCAGATTTTTTTTTTAGCATTACATATCATGTATGGTTCCACAATATTTGAAATTTTAGAACAAAACTTTATTAGACCGGTCCTCTATGGACCAGACCCGCCAGCCCAATCCCTTGGGCCGGTCCGGTTTGTTTATAGCAGGAGGAGGCTGGCGGAAGCAAGGAGAGAGGAAAGGGTGGGGTCCACTTGATTTTCAAATGCAATCTTGGAGCCAAAAGGAGGGGAAGCAAGGGCAATTAGGTCCTTTTGTATTAATTTTGAATTGTATGCATTAAGTAGAGAGAAAAGGCTAGGGTTAGGGGCATGTGCAATTTTCTGAAAATTCTCTTGTTGTTCTCTTGTGGTTAGAGCTCTAGATTGCTATCTAGAGATTGGGAGAGTGGATCCTCCTCTCGAATAGAGGATCTCTTGTATCTTTACTGTTTTCTATTGCATCTACCATCAATATCAAGTATTTGGAGTGATCTGTCTCAATTTTTCTTACCGATTTCTCTGTTTTTCTTCTATAACCTGCTGTATTACTGCTGTAAACAGCAGTTTTGGGTGTTGTTGTCCACTGATTTGGGCTAGGAATCAAGTATTTCCTACCAAACTTTTAATACAAAAAAGAATGCCCTAAGTCAATGCAGCTCAACTAGAACATGACATTATTTGTATCTTCTGGAGTAGCTTTTTTTGTTCTGTTATTCTAGAAGAATTATTACGTCCTCCGACCGGATGCAGAGGAACATTCGGTCGTAGGCAAAATCGCGCCTATACCGAGGTGTACCGAGTTTTTTGAAAAAACTCGGTACACCTCGGTATAGGCGCGATTTTGCCTACAACCGAATGTTCCTCTGCATCCTTACACCGAACCAAATAAAAGTTCATTATTCTAAGCAAGCATGAAAAATAATAGAAGCATGATTTTAACATGCTGGTAATTAATTCCAGAGCAGTTACAAATGATCTTTTACAATCATGTTTAGGTGAAGATATCTGATTAGGTTCTTCATCTCCTCCAAAGAGGGAGAGATTACTTTGTGTGGACACCGGATGGGAGTTCCGGTACCGCTTGGTACCAAACGCGGTACCGAGCGATACCGACACTTGGTACCGCACTCGGTATCGAGTGCAATACACTTTTGGGGTAAAGTGTTGATTTTTTATTGGCCTCTGGACGACGTCCAGACTCCACACCTAATAATAAAAAATAGATGTTTCTGATGATCAAAGTTGACCTGTAGTTGAGCATAATAATCACAATGATGTGAGATCCAATTTCAACCATGTTACTAGGCAGGAAAAGTGGAAATCAACAAAGTTAATTTGCAAGATTAAGGTAGTCACGGAATTTAGACTTATCAACACCATTGCCTCCTTTATCAATGGAGTTACATCGCACAGGATGTCACCTTGCCTATCACAGAGTTATGTTTTAATTGCACTAATTGCTTCTCTATTCCATACTCTGATGATTGTTATCACATTCTAAGAGGGAGTCTTTCATCAAGATTGCATTGGGAAACACTATTAGTGTCCCATAAGAGTGTCTTAACTTATCCTTCTTTTTCCCTTTATCAATGTTAACATAATCGTCTCTATTTTCTTTTCTTTCAACTGTTGTAGTGTTGACAGGCGTCACCAGTGGCGTAGAGTGCCGTTGTTGTAGCTGCTAACTGTTGGTGAGGAAATTTCAACGCAAATAAAAGAATAATCAAGTAATCTAATTAAATGCATTGATCAATTGACTGATTTGATCTAAAGTAAGCATATTTTTTTCTATGTTCATGTGGGCTCCGAAAATTCAGCCCCGGCCTCCCCTTGTTTGCTTTTCCAGGGGAGTTTTAACATATTAAGTTATGAGATAAATTTTGGGAAGGCTTGGGTTTGTAGATAAGACACTACCTAAAGATTTTGCCCTCATTTTGCGAGGATGTTATGATCTGAGGTCTGATTTCCTATAGGCGCAAGCCCCGATAGTTAATTACCCCTCCCGATCACGAGAAAGAACTTTCGATTAAGGCTAGTCATCAATCAGAAACATAAAGATACGTGTTATCTGACATATAATAGCAGTATGAGTTTGAGAATTTGGAAAGTTGAAAATTTGGTTGGAAATTTTAATATTTAAAATTGGAAATTACACTATCTTGCGCTTAAAGCGGATGGTGGGGGAATGAATGATGGACCCAATCAATATCTCATGATTCCATCATCCCGGGCCATCATGGTCCTTGATCTACTTAGTTAGAGGAGGTATTCGACCCAACCTAACATACGGATCCTTGTCGGCAGTCATGGATTGCTTCGTCCAAGGGGACCTTGTAGACCTGGGGTGGATGTTTGTCTAAGAGAACAAATTTGAATACACCTTTAACTAACAGAGGGCTTTGTGCCCTATCGATTATATCCTATTGATTTATATCTCAAGGATTTAATACCACTAAGGAATGTATTGGCTCTAGCCATAACCATAATTTAGTGGTGCCATTTGATGGCAAAACCACTCTGTTTAGATGGCCCCAGGTCATAATTGTTTACATGCGGTGCTATTTGACGACAAAATTGCCAGTCAGAGGACATGTATCACGTCCTTACTGATAAGAGATTATTTGAGAATGAATCCTAGTGATATTTTCGACTAGTAATTAACTCCATATGAGTTGAAGTAAATTTCAATTTGTCCACCCCGACAAAAATGTTGAGGGTGGATGGATTTTGCTTTAAGTGTTTTATAGATAGATTTTAATTTTAAATATTTTAGATTTTGATGATTTTCTGGATTTTTGGATTTTCCATGGGTGTTTGAGATTTTGGGAGGCATTTGAAATGGTTGGAGGTAACCCCTCCAGTGAAATATACGTTCAACACGGCCATCATTGAGGTGACTTTGAGATCACCTGAAATTATTTGAATTTTGTGGAAGCTTTGAGACATTTGAAATGGTTGGAGTTAACCCCTCCGGTTGAGATAGACATTCAACATGACCATCATCGAAATGTTTGAGGTCATTTCCATTTGCGAATTGAACCTTGTCGACTCTACCAATTTGTCGATAGAGGATCGGGTTGTTGCTGGCTTTGCAGTATTGTTAATTAATTTGAAGACCTTAAAGGCCTTATATGAATATTAATTATAATAATAGGAAAAAACTAAATATACTATTGACATTAATAATAGGTCTAGTAACCATGAGACTAATAATTAGTATTTATTTCTTTATATATATATATATATATATCCCTTAATTTTGAGAGATCTACTTATGAAATTTTAAAAATAGGCTATGCATGTGAGTATCATTTATGGGGGGAGGATTAGTAGATGATTGGATTCTAATTATTCACTAATCACATTGTTAATTTCGCTTATTTATTGTTTAACCTTCTTTTACATGTGTATGACGCACCAGCATTTAGCCTAGATTCTCCTAGATCTAAGAACATGATGTGCTATGTTGTGTTAAATTTCTTCTTTATGTTACCCTGAGGGTTAGTCATTAACATTTGATTTAAACCTACTTAACATAACGACACCCTAAGGACAATAATTAAGAACCCGTCTAGCAAACTTAGAGAAATTCTAGGAGCTGGGATATACCTCTAATTGACATGAAACTTGACATATTTAAACATAGTGACATCCTAAACCTCTCAAAATTTTCAACCCATTAATTAACAAACTCTAATTCAACCCATTAATTAAGTCCCGATAACATCAAAAAATTCTAATAAATTCAAAAATCCAAAAATTACCCATAATATATCAAACTCTTCAGAATTCAATTCTTAATCTCAGAAAATTAAAAGCCCCTTAATTGAACTTCAATTTGAACCTTAATTTAATTTTGATTAAAAATCACTCTTTTAATT